TAGCACAAGGACACACCCATTCTCTTTTAAATACTGTTTTCATTACATATGTGTGTGGTTCCAAACTATCATTCAGACATGTTGGCACAAAGGGGGGAATATTACTGGCTACCATGGTCTGCACTTTGTTGTCAAGGCCGTACAGATTGTTTCCTTTATGTTTCCCTGACTCAAGTTGCCAGATACACACCAAATCCAGCAGCAAACAGAAGGATTTTTTTTCAGTTGTTTGTCTGTTTTCATTCACATTGCCATGATAAGCGTGATGAAGTTGAATACATTTTTTTATATATATATTTGAGATGAGAAAAACATTTAAAAAAAGCTATGTAATTATACATTGATTATGCAAAATGAATAAGCAATTGATATCCAAAATAAGAGTGAGAAGAATGGATGTTGGAACATATTTCTTCAGCAAATCAACCTCAGGGTTTGCTCCAGAGGATATCCTTAAAACATTTGTACTCCCGATCTTTTAGACATACATGTATAAGTCCCACATCAATAAGAGACTAATATTATTTGAATTGGGTACATGTGCTCACAAATGATTCTTATTACAATTAAACTTTAATCTACAAATAACGGCTTGTTTTTACCTTTTGCCGTTCTTGAGCAAGCTGTCATTTAATGTTAAATAATTTATTCCAAAACACACCTCGCCCACACTCAATCCTGCATCGCTGAGATGCAAGTGCTAAGACTTAACCATTTGACCAACATTGCAAACAACAAATTGGAACTCCAGGCAGGTACTTTACCTAGTGCGTTGCAACTCAGTCTATGGTTGCAACGCAGCAAATTTTGCATCACACGAAAAGTTTTTATCCGCCTTCAATTATCTAAATTTTTCAAAGGCGTCCCAATACAAATCAACATTTTAGTCTTTGTTTTTTCATTAATGATTTGAGAATCATAATAAGACCTTTTTTAGTTCTGCGGCCACATGTTATTTTACCACTGAGATTAGCCGCGGGGAGTTCTAGCAACCCGGATCACGGACTTCCTGATTGAAGAAAGGGCGGAGGGTGGGACATCAAAATCAAAACAATAACAACTTCTACGGGTCGTAAAACTAATTTATCTCGGCTGAACTACTGTTATCAGTTAAAGATGTATTGGAACAGAGCATGATTTATTAATGCCTTTTGAAATATTGGGGCCATTTAATGATGACTTGACATGCAAATATTACAGTACATATTGCTACTTTAATTTGAAAGGGTTCTAATCTTAATTTGAGTACATTCTGTCTTAAAACAAGACTATCTCAAGAACTGTTGCATTTTGTTCTCATTCCAAGATCATTTTGCTTGTCCCGTTGGCAAATCTTGTTTTGAAGCAGTCAAAATGTGCTCAAATTGAAGAAAAAAAAATGTATTTTTTTACTTGTGTCAGTCCACACTTGCTGCTTTTTACATTTTGACAACAAATCCAGTTTATTGTAACAGCCGTTGAGATAACCCTTCACCACAAAAAAACAAGGACACAGGAGAGAGCGTATTCAAAGTGCTGTGTGTTTTCCCCTGACAGGAGCCAATTGAGTCCGCAGCTTTTGGAACGAGATCGCACACGATAATGACATTCAGAGATGCTTCCCGAACACTGTCAGGTTGGTCATTCTGTGAGATGACGGGTTGCGAAGTGTCTAATTGACCTTTGCACAGACACAAATGACACACTTGCTCCTGTCTTGACTCGCCTGACAGAAGTTCAGCAGTTCACTTCATATTGTCTCTTTTTTAAATGCGTGTCAGATTGCTTGGACTTAAAGTGTGCATGGCAGGTTTGTGTTTCAAATATTTATTGGGACATTCTTCACACGCCGCACGTACTTAAAGTCACATTTGGTCCCCAATGTATTACTCTTTTATTCCTACAGAGAAATTTGACAAAGGAATAATAATGATGGAAATATAAAAAGAAGCAAAAAACATATAAATATTGGTTAAATTAACCAAAATTATAAATTACATTGCAACATACAGATTATTCCATGTGCCCGTCCATAACCTCTATTCATAACTTCACAACAAATCACACGCGATTTGAAAAATAATCTTGTCATGATTCGTTTCCACCTCCCAGCCTTTCTGTGTCAATTTTGTATGATCTCCCCATTGTTTAATTTAGTTTAGTTTATTTATTTAAGATGACAGAGACAGTGTACAAAAACATTAACCTCAAAAGGGAGAGATGCATTGTACCAGGTTATATCTCAAGAGCTCATTTCCACCTGTAGTCCCTGGGCAGGCTGATGTTATATTACATTCAAATAACAGACATTCATGGATGTACGATTTACATTTGGTCAAAAAACAAGTCTTCACATGCACAATTTGTTAAAACCTCACATTCACATCTTTCACTTATACAGGTCAATCACAAACACACACTCTCTCTCCCTCCTCTCTCCCTCCCTCTCTCACACACACACACACACACACACACAGTGCAAGTTTGGTTTGATAATAACTATTTCTTTAAAAGGCGTGAGAACATGTAAGAATTTGAGTGGTCACACAGTAAAAAGCAGAGTTTCCAAAAGCTGTGTTTGAGGAATTTGAGGATCTCGTGGCTCGTGTTGTTATGTTTGAGCCTAAAAAGATGAACTCTTTCAGTGGAGGAGAAGCGGTGTCATGAAGGATCTTATACAGGAAGCAAAGATTTGTGTGTTTAATTATGCTATCAAAGCATAAGATGTTATGTTTTGTAAGGATATGACAGTGATGGAAACGTCTGCTTTTTTTAATAGTGGATTTTTAGTGAGTTTTTATAAAGTGAATCAAGTGGCCTCAGGACAGATTTAGAAGCTTGAGACCAACTTGTCATACAATAAAGAAAATGGGGAACAATCATTGCATTAAGATAGACTCCTGACGCCTCTGTTGTAAGTGAATTTCTAATTTGTCAAAACTGTACCATGTTAAATTTAACTGTATTTGATAATTTCTTTTAAGTGTTTTTTTAAACCCTAAATTTCGATCCAGTATGACTCCTAAATACTTTACCTGTTCAGCAATTTTAATTTTTTGTCCATCAATTAAAATGCTTGGACAATTAGGAATTGTACGGACTTTGAAATACTTAGATACAGTCTTGTCTAGATTTAGGGTGAAACATGAATTTTTAAGCCAATGTGTAACTTTTTTCATCTCATTGGTCAGTTTTTCTGTGTGGGTTTCCTCCAAACGCTCCGGTTTCCCATGTCACTAAAAACGGGGGAAACCGACTATATAAAGAGACACTGCTCCCATCGCTGTGTGGAGTCCGAGGAAAAATGCCTCCAGCAATTTACGGTTTGTAATTCTTTGTCTGTGAAAATTGCTAAATAAATAAAGACGACTAATTACTACTTCTCATTTTCACTTTTCTGTCTGAAAAAAGTGAATCTAAAGATGTAACAGAGATCACAAATATATGCATAGTGATAGAGCCAGCCTTGGTTTAGATATTAAGTACTTTACCTCAGCTTTAAGGGGGAGCTAATCACTTTTGCATGAGGACACTTGATAAATGAGGCCTCACGCAACTAAACATAAATAACAGTTTTAGATCAGAAAAAGTAAAAAGATGACAAGACAATGTAAGACTCAGATGTAAACATATCAAACATACATATATTAATTATAAAGAACACTCTTTGTGGGACCAGTATGAGACATTTACGCTAAAAACAATATTATTTTGTTTGGCATCAAAGGGATCTTTCCTTGTCTGTATGGTTTTAAAGGACAAAAGAAAATAAAAACTCACAATGAACATGTCCAACTTTATATGTCCACAGACCAATAACAATCACCAGTCAGAGACAGGGACATCTGCCTTTGTAACAACGTGAAATAAAAGTTTATTCAACAACATTATGGGCTCGTTTTGCAGCTGTCAAAACAGAAAATCATGAATCCTTTATAATCCACAGACAGATGTCCTTCTCTTGTCTTTCAATCACATGTTTCTTTATTTTTTTTTCCCATACCATCAGAGAACATGATTTTGCTGCTAACTGCTCCTATTTTGTACATTGTAACCCATAGTTTAACAGTAATTTAATTTGTTGAACTTAATCCATTTACCATTAAACCACACAGGAAGGTGATTACAGGAAAAAGCACTTGAAGCATTTGTCTGTAATTAGCATGCAGTGATGTCACAAGTTGGCTCTAGACTTGTGGTAAATTTGGGACAAACAGGTTTAGACAATTTTAAATATTTATTGGAATAATAACAACAGAAAAAACAATAATGCAAACAAAGAAATACGGATCCAGTAGCGGGAGGGAGCAAAGCAGAGAGAGACAGTTGGCCAATCACTGAGTCAGGCCATGACAGTGAAAATCTATTTAAAATGAACATGTAAACATCGATCAGTCTACATCAAAACAAATGAGGGATGAAGAATGCAGGGTGTATTTTCAGAGCTGGGATCGAACGTCAGGAACATCTCACCTGGGATTGATGGATCGATTGTTGGAATCCTTAGAATTAGTTTACTTATAATATGTTAAAAAAAAGTCTAGAAAAAATATCAAATCTGATTGAGGTCAGTGTAACACAAAGTAAATATTGAAAGTCGCTTTTATTTGTCTCTGATGTCAAATCAAACAGTGAATCTAAATGAAATGTTATAACTTACAAAGTTTTGCCAACACCTGGGCTCGGTTTCAACCCATACTGAAATAATGTCTATAACCTGCAACAACAACAGAATTGACTTTGTGCAAAACCATTTATTCCAACAAAGCATGATTGGTTTTGGTTTTGCATTATAGGCTGCACCTATGAACCACAATGGGATTGAAAAGAAATGACATATTTTGCTAAATATTTCAGAGATTTGAACTATGCACAGGGAAATGGCTCAGCCTTGAGGGGTACGTAATAAAATATGCCCAAACTTCATCACTCCTTTCCCTGTGGCAAAAGCCCCTTTTAGAGCTCATTTCTCTGCTTCTGGACTGTGGGGCTAATGACCCTGTCTTTACCCAGACCAATGGATGTATCACCCAGACACTGAGGCACTTCATCACAGAGGAGCAGAGGAGATGAAGGGTGAGGAGGGTGAACAGGGTGAAGACGGTGACAATGGGGAGGAGGGCAAGAAGGGTGAGAGACTGAGGAGGGTAAAGAGGCTGAGAAGGGTGAGGACTGAGGAGGCTGAGAAGGGTAAAGAGGCTGCGATGGGTGAGAAGGGTAAGGAGGCTGAGAAGGGTAAAGAGGCTGAGAAGGGTGAGGAGGCTGAGAAGGGTAAAGAGGCTGAGAAGGCTGAGAAGGGTAAGGAGGCTGAGAAGGGTGAGGAGGCTGAGAAGGGTGAGGAGGCTGAGAAGGGTGAGGAGGCTGAGAAGGGTAAAGAGGCTAAGAAGGGTGAGGAGGCTGAGAAGGGTGATGATATTGGAATGTAACTTAAGTTATCATTTTGGTAAATCGTATGTGGCTATGTGCTGAATGCTCTGTATTGTAATTCACTTTAGCTCCAGGAAGACACCGGGAGGTCTGGGGAGCTCGTATGCTAAGTGTCTTTTGTTGTGTTGGTTTCTTCCTTTCCCATCTGCATACGAAGGTGTGTCTTGTTCTACCAAAAGGGGCTTGCAGACTGTGAATCTTCAGACTTGTCTTGAGAGAGGCTAGGGTCTGTGCCTTGCCTCTGTCAAGACATTCTCCTTGTACAATGCAACAAGTAAAAGATTAAATTTGTCTCTTTGTTGTGTGAGATTTCATCAAGGTTCAACAGTTGAAACAGCATTATCAGGTGAGGAGGCTGAGAAGAGTGAGGAGGCTGAGAAGGGTAAAGAGGCTGAGAAGGGTGAGGAGGGTGAGGAGGCTGAGAAGGGTGAGGAGGCTGAGAAGGGTAAAGAGGCTGAGAAGGGTGAGGAGGCTGAGAAGGGTAAAGAGGCTGAGAAGGGTGAGGAGGCTGAGAAGGGTGAGGAGGCTGAGAAGGGTGAGGAGGCTGAGAAGGCTGAGGAGGCTGAGAAGAGTGAGGAGGCTGAGAAGGGTAAAGAGGCTGAGAAGGGTGAGGAGGCTGAGAAGGGTGAGGAGGCTGAGAAGGGTAAAGAGGCTGAGAAGGGTGAGGAGGCTGAGAAGGGTAAAGAGGCTGAGAAGGGTGAGGAGGCTGAGAAGGGTGAGGAGGCTGAGAAGGGTGAGGAGGCTGAGAAGGCTGAGGAGGCTGAGAAATATTCTGCAACATTGAGCTCGTAATCATGTTATAATGAGTTTTACCCTCATTGTCAGCTTCCTTAATTTCTTCATATTTTCCTTCCAGTGCAAAAAAAAATAAAATAAAATAAAATAAAATATTGTATCAACTTGCAGGGTCAATTGTAATGAATCGTATAAAAATATAAACTGTATATATTTATTATCATACGCAAATGTACGGTATAGATGAGTGTCTTGTGGTGGGACTGTATCCTCCCTCTGGTCTGGTTCTCAGCCCCATCCTGAAGAGTCCAGCAGTGGCACATGCTACTGCCATGACGACTGCAGGGTTGACCCGGGAGCCATGGAGACGGAGCCGGGGCAGTGGCTGACGGACAAAGACCTGTGTGTTTCAGAAAGAGGCGAGCGTAATGCCGCGTTTGGACGTACGCCAAACACTATTGGTCATTTGGAAAGACTTCAAACCATCACCAGTATTGCTTATTTTTACAGATTTTCATTTCACCCAAAGACTCTTCAGGGGCTATACTATTCTGATCCATTTTGACCATTCTCTGACCAATATCAATCATCCAGGCACACCAGAATCATACTTGTGTGACGTGCCTCGCCTAAGAACACAAAGACAGTTTAGCTTTGATGATTTGATAAAACTGTTTCAAATATACAAATTAATCAGAGGTAAACAGATTGAAAGGGGTTTTTTCGGTTTGTTTTGTATGGCTGATGCTGTCCCACTGTGGCACCGCTCGTTTCCAGAGGTCTCCCATCGCAGTAGTAACCAGGCTCTACCCTGCTTAGCTTCCAATGCAGCGTTATTGTCCCTTTAATTGCCTTTTTTGATAATCTTGTTACATGGCTCCTTGTGTAAAGTGCATTGAGCTGCAGTTTCCTGTATTTATTTTATACACAGGATCAACTTCAAATGCACCACTAGCACTTAAACAGCACTTTTCACTCAAAGCCGGTGGATTTTTGCACTGGGAAAAGAGAATTATCAACTCAGGTTTGGGTAGTTATGTCAGTCAACTTGTCAGAACAGAATAGAAACATAAGAAGGATAATTTCAGCACATGTCATACAGGAAACTGCAAATCAATACGCTTCGAGGTAATAGCCACCTCTCTGTGAACACAATAAAGACAGGGTTACTTCTAAAGCCACTGTACTGGTAAATGAACATGTCCACTTTTTCATAATGCAGTATTTTTGGCCCTCACAACCGTGTGTACACAGCAGGCACACGTGAACACAGTACTCGAGTGAATCAAAAGCATGTTTTTGGACTCAAGTGCAGTCTGGCAACTAGTTGTAATCTGTCCCACGGCAACAGTAGTGCGTCCACAAACAGGCTGAGTCACTCTCTCAAAGAAAACGGTGGATAATCTCACTTTTCTGGTACTCAGATGTTAAAATTATTCTCCCCACACACACATAAAACCTGCAGTATGATTTTTCTCCTCTCTTTTCTATATATCCATGCATCTAATTTCTTCCGCTTTATCCATTGCCAGGTTGCAGGGGCAGCAGTCTGAGCAGAGACATGGGGCGTTCTCAGGTCAACTGAGAGAAAAAAAAAAGGAAAAGTGAAAAAATATCTTCTTCATGATTAAGAAGCTTAGAAGGCTTAGATGGTTCTAATACGTTCAATTAAATTCAATTAATGTTATTCTTGTATAGCCCTAAATCACAACAGTAGTTATTTTGGAGGACTTTATAAAACCATCAAATATGATTACACAGATCATAGAATCAAACAGTTCAAACACAAGAAATACAATGATAAAAAACATAGAGCCATTGGTCCATACAGGGTCGATAAGCAATGTCCATAAATGTCAATAAGGTGCTATGTGTAAAGAAGTATGTCAGGTAATTCAGCAGTACTAGCTTATTTAGACATTTGTTTTATTATATTAACCTTCTAAGCCTTAGTTGAGAGAAACAGTTCCTGCAGCGTGCCCTGGGTCTTCCCAAGGGTCTCAATTTACCTTTTTTTTCTGCCTTTTCATTTCAGGCTATTGTTTGTATATGTACAGTATGTATCGTCTTTGTTCTGAATGATGAATGGATCTAGTATTTTATTGTTTTTATCAAATTTTTATTGTTAACTGGTATGTCATTGTTTTTTATTATTATTATATGACTTGGACCGTACACGCGCTCTGATTGGCTGATTGCCGGTCTGATATTTTCCCATCTCGGACCGTTACCATGACAATTGGTCCGAACAGCGCGTATCACATTTGATATCTTTCCTCGGACCGTTACCATGACAATCTGTCCGCAGCGCGTATCACACAAAACCAAGTCGGACATGAACATACTTCACAAATATCTCAAAAGCATTGGTAAAGACACAGACGAGATTCAGATTCAGATTCAGATTCAGATTCATTTATTTGCCATTTGCAGTAAAACCACATAGGAAAAACTGTGCAAGACTACCCCGGTGTGCACCAGACAGAGAAGACGACACACACCAGAGCTCTTGTCTTGAGAGTCATATAATAAAACATTTATTAACCTTGCTTGCTCGGTTAATAAGCCGTTATTATTTCACTTGTATTGTTTTTACTTTGTGCATAATGTTTTACTTCTATTTTTGATTTTTTTTTCTTCAAACATAAGGCTAGCAAACTTGCATATTTAAACGTGTTGATTTTATCTCTGTGCAGCACTTTAGAAACTTGTTTAATAAAATGTGCTGGATTGGATTGGATTGTATGATGGACACTTGAATCAAGATTATTTGTTTATTTATTTTGTTATCCCTAATACAAACAGTTCAATATTAAATCAATTCGTTTCAAGCAAGTTCTTATGTATTTGTTTTTTGCAGTGTGTCTCTTTCAAAAAACAAACTTAGAAACATTGTGGTGGATAAGCCTCTCAGTCTGTGCCCAGAAACGGTACACCCCATGTTGCTTGTATAACGGGACCCTCAGTACCTTCAAAGCACCATCCCCACCAAGGTCATTCCTCTTATAGCCACAACATTCCCATTTTGTTACAGCAACAGAAAACACGAGTTGCGACTACACGCCAAAATAGATAGATTTATTTGTGTGTTTCAGCAAGAAGGGCCCACCAACTGCGGCTCTTTGATTCCTGGAGTGCTTTAATCTGAGCTGTCTTTTGATGTGGGAATACAGGGTACGCATCACCTCCAGATATCGCTCCTGCTATCTCCCTACCTACGTTTCACTCTGTGGGTAAACAAAGCTGGCTCTCCCCCCACCACCACCACTATACCCCCACCACCTGGTTCTTTTGTCACTGTTGCTGCCTGGCCAAATCCCAGCTGAGGTGCATTGTAATTGGGGATACAGAAATAGATTATAACCAGCCAGAATTCAACAACTGCACGGTGTGGGGCTGGAGAATGAATAGGGAGTCAATGCCGAAGAGAGAAATTGGATACATTTAAAGCTGGAGTGACTGACTATCAAGCAACAAAGCATTGAATGTGTAATCCAAAACAGTCTGGTTTTAACACTAGTTTTCAGATGCAGGTATTTTGTGGCCACTTAGATTGGCTTCATCAGTCAAACAATCCAAAACATTATTTTGTGTTGTCTAATAAGATAAAGACCAAATGTTGTGGTCTGATTTGTTCACAAAAAATGCTTTTGTAAGCCCCTTTCTGTTGGAAAAACAACGTGTTTATCATTATTTATGCAAACAGTAGAGAGTAGAGAGGAGTGTTAAAAATTTGACTGTAAATCCGGAAAGATATAGCCGTTGTTGCATCGCCATTTAACGTCTTCACAAGGTGGAAAAAATTTGCAACGATAAACCGCACCAGCAACAATTGTATTTAATTTATTTAAAAGTTATTTTTGTCTACATGAATATGAACATGAATTTAAGCCGGTTTTCATAATGTAATGTAATACTTAACTAAGAAAAAGCTGAAAGAGCAAAACCAAGTACATATACGACTGTTTCAACTGGACACAAGATGATGACGAGGTGTTTAAACAGATTAACCAGGAACTTTCAATCGTCCACCATCTATTTTGATTATACATGTGTGTCCTATAGCTACTGATAAACATCCCAACAAAATACATACATTGGCTGCATTTCTAAATTGTCCACGGGCTTAAAAAGAACTGGAAAAAACTAGATAATTATAGTCCATACTTATATTCTCAACCTTTTTCTCAATGAGTATCTGCTACAAGACTAAACATGTATAGTGAAAATGGCAAATCGAACACAACATTATTGAAAAGACACATTAGTATGGCATGTTTACTGTGGATCAAGGGTCTCACGAGGTCTGAAACTGTGAATATAAGTAGTATATATATCATTTGTCTGTGTGTGTGTGCAACATATATGAACATTGGAGTAAACGGATCAATGCATGTGCAGAAATAGAGGTAAAGCGCTAAAATGGCACATTTTTTAATTTGCACATGCAGTGTAGCTCCTGGATTAATAAATATTTTTTAAATCAACCCCATTTTCTCGTTCTTTAACAATAAAAGTAGAGAAAGTGAACATTTGTACTTGTAAAACCGAAAACAGGGAAATTATTGGATCAAGCTTTTGTGGAAAGATCATTTGCATCTGTGACTTTTATAATCACACAATAATGACTTTTATCCAGTATGACTATAGATATAATTTTGTATGTATTTCTATGAACTCATTAACTACAGCTGCTTGGATTGAAACAAAACTGGAGCAAAGGCAAAGAGGCTTTGTATTGTAGACTGCTGGGCTGAATAATCTATACTTTTAAATAAACTGAGTTGCAGTATTGTGCTTATAACGTTTTGTGCTTATAACGTTTTTCAAACAGTAATTTTGCTTTCTAATTTCCTGTTCGTTTCCTCATCTTACAGCTAACCAATCACATCCATGTGGCGTCTCTAAATTTAACATAGTTATTTTGGGCTCATTGTAACATATATCATCGTTAGCTGCTGCAGTAGACTGTAAACGGCAAGAATAGAAAAATATCAGAGTTTCTACCTTCCAAGTAAATTATATCCAAATACAAAGTATTTGGGAGTACCTTTTTGAGTATACCATACCTGCACCAGCACACTATTCTTGGTACAGGATGGCAGTTCTAAACAATAATAACACAATTATGCATATATCAGGAGCTTGCATTTCAGAAGTGCCTATTTTAGAACAAACAGTCGTCAAAGTGCAAAACAGAAACTCTTTGAAAAGATATTATTTGTTTCAATAAAGAGTGCAGGACTAAAAACAGTTTTTTGCAAGCATCACTTTCCAGTTTTTTTGCTCTTAACTAAAAACACATGTATCTTTAAAGGTGCTATGGATTCTAGCTTTATTTAGGTTTCTAAAATAATAATATTAGAGCAACAAAATTCAATTTTGTGTATAATGCCATGTGAAAAATGATAAGAATCCCTCTTTTGCCGTTGGAAGGCTTTCAGGACCATGGACAGAGTCAAACTCTAGGAAGTCATCCCCTTAGAATTATAGGTTTCTGTCTGAACATTCTGACAATTCATTGGTCATAATGGAATGAAGAAAATGTATTTGCACTCATAAAACACTAAATCTGACAAATCTTTTTTTTTTTAAGTGAAGCTCAGTGTAGGATGAGGATCATCAATCCTACAAGTGTTTATAACCAGTCTTTTTGCTAAAAGTGCCGCTGGTCAGATACAACAACAAAACTACACTAGGAGAATCTGTCAGAAGATAAAGAATCATCAATGCTTTGTAGAAGTGAAAAAACTAAAATATTTATTTGGCATTCAAAAGTGCATAGCAATTAAAAATCATCTGTACCAAAATAGTGTAGGTCCATGTCATCACATAGTAACCAAAGAAAAATAGAAAATATATGATATAGTTGTGTACTTGAATAGAATATATGGACATTAACATCATAATTCAATGTGGCTGATGATAATCATGGCACAAATTTGGTTTAAAAAGTACATTTCCAAATTGTCCTGGTGGCGACCTGCTTCTTTCAATGTATAATTGCTTTTTTTTTTATGTTGCTCCGTTTGGTTTAAAACACACCTCTTCCACAATTATGAACAAAATGTTTTGAGGGTTTTTTTTTTTACTAGCGTTTCTCCGTGATATGCATCGTAACTTAGTTAGAGTGAAGTCGCAGACTTTTTTCCAATATAAAAGGCAAAATGTAATGACAAATTGGATAAATATCAAGGAACAAAACAACATTTGGATGAACCGAGCAGGACAATTGAGAAATGCACCTTTAAGCGGTTTAAACTAGCACCATTAGTGATTTAGCACACACAAATTTGCATAATGTAGGTTCTGTCCACAACATATTTAAGCAACAATTAAATCAATGGCATATTTAGAGCTGGGTGGTTTCACTTGGACTCGGTCTGGTCGTCCATACCGGCCTGTGTCATGAGCTCCGACACATTCTTCTCCAGGCCATCGATGCGGCTTCCCATCTCGTCCAGTAAAACAGATAAGGAACACGTTATAATGATAAAAGCTTTCTGGCCGGACAAGTTCACAGACTTTTAAAATACTTTATACTGCTTTAATGGTCCTGCCCCGTTTTCTGTCCCCAAGACTTTCGACTTTCGGAGATAAGCAACGTCTTTGTGTCAAAATAAAAAAGAAATGTAATGGGGAAATGTGAAGCACTCAGCTCTGTAGCCCATATCTGACCCATATTAAAACCTCCCACGTCCTTCATTTCAAAATCTAGACATAATTAATCATACAAACATTTAATTATTTCCAGGTCCTATGGAATTTGAGCCTCATTCCCAGACATGTCATGTTGAACCTTCTAACTTGCTCTAGGGCCGTTTACAAATTTTGAAATTTAAAAACAAACCATTAAGAATATTTTTAAAGGCTTATTTGTATTCACCTTATATGTAATCAGAATGGGCCGCTAGTGACCCCTAGTGGCGTGACGCAGCAGTACAATATTGTCTTTCCCTTTCAGGCAGGGCATATATTTGTTGTAGAATATGTTATCATTGCAGCTGATGTACATACAAACAAATCATAGTAATGTGGTGCATTTTTAGCTGCTAGCAAATGACAAAGTGGAATACTGGCAACAGGCAACAATAAAGGATATTTTGAGACTCCAGGTGATCGGACATCACTTGAAATCTTCCTTGGAGACGCTCCATCGTTTTCTCCATCTGACGGAGACAATCAGGCAGGAAACATGAAAAGTGACAATATACAGAAACAAGATAAAGGGCTGGATGCGCCCAGCTGTGTCTCTGAATGGGACGCTGACGTCATACTCACCACCTGTGTCAGCTCTTGTGCCGCTTTTTCTTCTGTTTTGGACATCATCGAGAACCGAGGACCTCTGCGCGAATGGACATGAGGCTAAAAGACTACACTAGGAGCTGACAGGGCGATCAGGGCGCCACATCGGCCAGAAACAACTCGCCCTCTCTTAACTTTGTAGCAAGTTGTTCGCGAAGCTAGAAATCAACATCCGGTTTGGTTAAAAAGTAAGATCATGCATTATTTGATGGGCGTATTTTCCTAATTAGTTCTGCAGCAGTAATAACGTTTACACTCACGTTTAATCTTGGTTGTTTGGTCTTATAGGCGCATGAGTGCATATTTGTCTTTCCCTCCCTTGTGCAAAAGGTTTGGCCCTGCTTCAAATGCTTTTGCAGTGAAGGTTATCTAGGGCAGGCGGATGTAGTCTAGCTGTACTTCGGCACAGAACATTTCCGGTGCTCTGTCAAAATACAACACCTTTTTTCTTTTTTTTACGTTGAACGGCATAGTTCCATGTGAACGGCATACCGTATTATTATTAGAATCATTAATTATATTATCATAATTGCGATGATAGTAATAATAATAATGATGATCATTATCATTATTGTGAGATACATTCAGCACAGTCCTCTCTTGGTCACTGATGTTCTTCGTGTGTGGGTCTGACGTCACTGAGGCAGACGTTTCAGGAAGTAAAAAAAATGACAAATTAAACTCATGGAACTCCTCTGTCTGTGAAAACAACTCTACTTCATGCGGTATTTCTTGTTTTAACACATATTCTACACTAAAACCTGGAACACCACTTTGGCGCATACCAGGATTTATGATAATATTTTGAATATTTGCTCAATGAGGATATTTTTTGTACAACAGCTCTAAATGGGCTTGCACAATATGCCAACAATCTTCTTGTGACTGAGGTAATTTTGTGTTAGCCGTAATGCTTTTTTGATTTGCACTTGTCTTGATCCCCATTGGACTGCCCTGCTGCTCTTTTCCTCTTCTGTTTGGAAACTCTTTCGTTATGAATCTCGCTCGTCTTGTGATGGCGTGGCATTAGGAGCTGCCTGTGTGTGACTATGCCTGTAAACAGACTCTTCTGATCACAAGGACCCAAACATTATCATTGCGCCGCTGGACCTCTGAAGATGGAGGACGAACTGTTTGGCCAGGTCGTGTCTGTCTTCCAAAGCGTGGTGTCGTGGATCGCTGCGGGGGCCATGGTGTTTGGAGGGGTGGTCCCGTATGTCCCCCAGTACAGAGACATCAAGCGGACTCAGAACGCAGAGGGCTTCTCCACCTACGTGTGCCTGGTGCTGCTCGTGGCCAACATCCTCAGAATACTCTTCAGGTGCATGACGACATTCATATGTCTACATTCTGACTTATTTAGTCTGCAGGCCTGTGATGATGGCTTTATTGACATGATAAACTTGTTAGTGCTAGCCTGTATCACCATGTCACCGCGGCAGACATCCACTAATATAACACGTTTCTAGCCTTAGAATAACTTTTTGTAGCTTTGAAGAACTTCTAGCGAGATTGACAGATGGAATTGACCAGCATGTACTGGACACTCAAAGACACTTAAACCAGCACTCATCAGTCACTCACACACCCCACTCATCCTCAGTAGTAGTAGTATAGTTAGTCAAACTATTGACAGCACATTGATATAGCAAAGATAGTATATAACTTTAAGGCATAACAAAAGGAAAGCCTTTTACACTGACACATATAAAGTAAATTAAAGATCAAGGATAAAGTAAATCCACACTGAAATTGTCCATGCTGAATTCTATTTTGAAACACAAAGGACAAAACACTTGAACCTATTACATTTGATGAGAGATGGAAAAGATTTTACCCTTACATTGTTGAGTATACATTTAGATGCATTTAAAATAATGGTATTAAAGATGTCTATATACATCATTTTAGAGCATTATGCTGTTAACTGGTACGTGTATAAATGTGACGACTATAGTGGTAATAACACAGTAATAATAGGGCTGTAACAAGTTAATGGATTTTTCGCAACTAATCGATTATTGAAATAACAACCCAATGCTTTATCTTTAAAAAGATGTTCTGCATGGGCATCACTTGAGCTTCGTTTTGGTCAAATATGTAAAACCTCCCATATTCACTCACCTTTGGGGATCTAAAGGACGCAACAATCATCCAAATAATCGTTAATTACAGGCCTATACTGGGGCGACAGTAGCTCAGTTGGTAGAGCATTGGCCTTCAGGCCTGAAGGTCGTGGGTTCAATTCCCACCTCTACACCTTCTCCACCGACTCCCACTGATGACTGCTGTCGTTGTGTCCTTGGGCAAGACACTTAACCCCACTTTGCCCAAAGCCCCCACTGAAAGATCAAGGCTATGCGCACACTCAGAGCAGCCGCCCTCCTGTGGACTCACCACCTGCAGAGGGTCAGTGAGGGGCTGGTGCTATGAGACTTGGGTGGCATCTCTGACTGCCACCCCCCTGACCCAGAAATGGATTAAAGGGTAGAAAATGGATGGATGGATGGATACAGGCCTATACCTTACTAATGACTGCTTCTAAAGACGGTTTTGTTTTGTGTTGCCAGGTTTGGCCGATACTTTGAGACGCTGTTACTGTGGCAGAGCTTCATTATGATCGCCACCATGCTCACCATGCTCAACCTGTGCACGAGCGTCCGAGTGACCTCTGACCTCAACACCAAGAGGCGCTCATTCATAGGTCAGCTCCTCCTCCCCCTCTGGCTCCCATCACAACTACACAACCACACAACTACACAACTATGTCCTGATTCAAATGTGTGTGTGTCGAATACTGTAATCATTAACCGGAACTTGAAACAGATGGACTCATAATCATAGCTTTTTATCACGTTGTAAAGTTGGCCCACAAATCACTTCAAACAATGGGTTAATTTTTTTTATTTTTTTTATTCTATTTTTTCACAATTCTTTATTCATTTTCAACGAACAAAACATACACTTAAAACACACACATACAGGTCCAGGAAAAAACACCAAAAAGAAGGGTTAAAAAGTCAGAAACCTATTAGATACAATCTATCTACTAGTATTTTTGTCAGTCAACTTGATAGTACAATATTATTCTTTATCAGTTAATTAATAATGCAATACAAAACAATGCCACCATTTCTTTTCTTCACAACATGCTTATTCTTTTGATTTACAGCCGGGGTACCTCACGTTCACATCGCAGATAATGGAACTATGTAATAAACCCATCTAAGTAGTTCTTCCAAACACTTTGGTTCTATCACCATCAGATTTCACATGTGTCCAATGTTGGCCTCTGTCACATCTTCAGATCAGCTTTATCTGACGGAAAAGCGAAAAAAGAGAGGACCACCCCCACCTTGCAAAAGACAACATTTTCGAAAAAGATTAGTAGAAACATTTTATTTTCTGTTGGGACAAACAACCTTAATTAATTATGAAGAAAAAAGTAAAATGTAGCAACCAAATAGTCATCATAGTCCCATTCTATATATGTTTTGTTTTTCATTACAATGTGTCTACAATAACTGCATAGTAAACAGGTGCTGTCACCCAAGGAGCAAAAACTAAATAAATCCTAGCAAATGCAGGTGCAGTAACAATAAATATGTTCCAATTCAATTCAGTTTTTGCTTGTATAACCCTAAATCACAAAGTAGTTATCTCAGACGACTTTACAAAACTGTTGAATTTGCAATGAAATGCAATAATAAAAAACACAAAGCCATTAGTCCATGTGTTTTTATCATTGCATTTCTTGTGTTCGAACTGTTCCAGTGGCTCGTGGAAAATCATAACAGCTTCTCTCATATCACCGTATTGAGCTGTGTTCCTCACCGCTGGCCAGAACCCAAACAAACCAGGTGTGTTTCTCTCGCCCCTGTGCATTGTGCCTGTGCCTGTAGCCACAGACTGTGCGGAGGAGGAGGTCAGGCTCCCAAAGCGCCTCTTTCTGGGTATGTACACTGCAGTGTGTCTGCCATCCAACGGCTGCCGCTCACTCCCTCTTCATCCATGCCGCTAACTCCTCTCACTCCTCACCTCATCTGAAGCATGGCCCTCTGCGCAGCATGCTACTATAGCGCTGTCCACTCGCCTGCACTGGACCAGCAAGCTCATCTAACTATATACAAGGGAACCTTAGAAAATGTTGAATATTGTTATAGTTTACGTCTCTGAATCAACTCAAAAAGTGAAAATAATATATGATACTCATTACACATTAATATATCGATACACAAAGTGAGATAAATATTGCTGAGAAGTGAGATGTTATATTGTTGATAACGTCTCATGTCTTTAAAAGGGGAAAAAAACCAAATATAATCCTTTGTTATTTTTACAAGATGTGGGAATATTTGAGTTGAATTACAGAAATTCACTTTCAAATAATATTCTCATTTTCCAAGTTCCCCCTGTATACTTGCATGAAGGTTTTGAATTTGTGAAAAGTTTATGTTTTGGTCTGTCTGTTGTATAGATTGACAACTCATCTTTAGTCTAACTTTCAAATGACACAAAACTGCAGAAGTTCTTTCTTTTTATAATAGTTTGCTACCATGACCAAAACTGTCTGCTCCTTCCACCCTCACCCGATCAACTCCCAGGGCTTTTATTTACAAGTATTAAAAACATATTACTGTTTCCCAATAAGAGGAAGACCGCATGTTGTGGTCTCATTTGTTACAACAAGACTTTTGATTGGTGCAAGCAATTATATATGAATTAAACTAAAAAGTAAAGTACTTCAGCTTTAAGTAAAACACAAGTGCAATAACTGATTGCACAGCACTTTCACCTTATCAAAACAGATCATTATGAACCTATTTCTTTTTTTTTTTGTTCTAACATCACTGTAGAGTTTCACTGTCGTAGTTACAATAGAGAATGCATTCAGTAGTGAGTAATATTGTCTGATTAGCATGCATAGTTTTCTGGCTTTTTAAATTGTTTTTGCAGTGACTTCAATAATGAGTACAATGCATGTGTGTGAATGTACTCTTCACTTTGAAGCTGCAGTTAATGTGACACAGTCTCTGTCAATGGCATTATTGTTTCATTTCTAACAAGCTCTTAAAACCATTCTGGAGCACACTTGGCTTAAACATTGAGACAACTAAAACGTTATACAATTCAATTCAATAGGGCGTCTGACCTCTAAAAATATACCCCACAAAATACAGTATATCCCAATATTCTTGTTTGGATTGTAATAATAGCAATAATAATAATGCATCGGTATTATACAGTGCTTTTTTGGACACCTAAAGACGCTTCATATTATTGTCATTATTCATTCACTCCAAACACGGTGGCAATAAACTACTACTGTAGCCACAGCTGCCCTGGGGCACACTAACAGAAGCAAGCCAAACTGTATGATCCATCTCCCCCTCTGACCACCACCAAACATTCACTCACACACCAGACTCATTCTAGGCAATGTGGGTGAAGTGTTGCCCAAGGACACAACAACAGTTTGGCACTTTACCGCCGTAGCCGCCCCACTGTGGCAACTGGTGTTCCGAGAGGTCTCCCATCACAGTACTAACCAGGCCCTGCCCTGCTTAATTTTAGAGGTCTGACAGAATATGGCATCACATACAGGTGGCGTCATTGTAACGTGAAGTTTGCAAGATTTGGTTTGTGTTTGCTTCGATTTATACAAAATTATATATCAGCCACTTTGGCTTTGTGTTCTTTTTTAATTCATCCACAAGATGGCGTTGTCAAACAAGCAAACATTACAAGACTTTCTCCTTCTCCCTAATATGTCATATGCCTGTAATTGATTATTGCAGCATTACAAAGAAATGCATTTTGGATTATGAATAATACATTTATGGATTTGCCTTGATTACAGGGTTTGTGCTATTTTGTTTAACCCACATGCAAAGCCTTTGTACGTTGGAATAAGAATCCCCATTCTGATGTTGTCTTACACGGTGGCCTCTTACCATGCATTAGGGTCCAGTTGCCGCAAAGACCCCATCCGTCTCTAATGTAAAATGAGCAGAATCAGAATCGACAGAGAGCAGTGTCGGTTGATCATCGCTTCCCTGTTTTATGGCTGCACATTGATCTCGCTGCAGAAATATCAGGGGTAAGCATGTTGTAATGGATTATTGATGGACCCTATGAAAACTGTGGTGGAGGCGGGAGAAGTGAAGAAGAGTGCGTGCTGTGGTCATTGGTCAAGGCTGTGAGCTGAGCAGAATCAGACATCTGCAGTTTATTGAGATAATATGACCAGAGAGACATGTTTTAAAGCTCTGTTCTGGACAAACATAAAATGGTGGAAATGTCTATAAAGTGGAGGCCATAAAATGTGGTTCTCTTAACATTTGACCTCTGCAACATCTTTAGGTCAGTTTTTTTTTCCTGCATAGAAGTGAAAAAGAGAAACCACCTTACTCAGCCAATCAGCTCCCAGCCCAAAGTGTCAAATAGTGACTCACAGGGCTTCAGGAATTCAAGAATTTCGTTGCCATTTGCAGTAAAACCACTTTGGTAATAACAAGTATGCAAAAGATAACACATTCTCTAATTGTATGAAGACAGAAAGTTGTGATCTGACTCTTTTCCGTTGGTAGATACCCCAACTTTACAAATATTCTCAAATTGTTATTTTTTTTATTTTTCATATATAACTTTTGTTTGTTAGCTATGGATCTTGCGCCTGCAGACGAGTCCTTAATATAAAATAGTAATAACATGGAATGATAATAACAAATAGGTGGATTGCAGATACAGGTGTCTCTGTCAGGTGCCATGGCCTCAGCTGGCTGGCCTCTCGTCTGTACACGTCTCCTACATCTTAATCACACATATTTATTTCCACCGCTCCAGTTCCATTATCGCCACAGGAGTCCGCCATCAAACAGCTGGACACTTCACCGCGAAAAGAATAGACACTACGCACCCTAGTTTTAATAGCACTCTCCGCAATTTCATTTGGATTATATGTTCTCACCCGCCGAAGCTAAATACAGACTACATAATGAACCGTTTTGTATTTGCGAGAAGTTTCTTTTTTGAACTGTGAAAGCTCTGATATTTCTGTCCGAGATGTCAGGCGAGTGTTTTGATTTGAAAAATTGCTCGATCTGAACATTCTAAGTGTTTGGCAAAGTTGGAGTTGTTGGAAGTCACTGGAGGACATGGCGGATTTCTCTCCCATTTCTGGTACAAGGGTTCAGACGGTAAAAGTTTTTTGGTTGGATGTTCTTGTATATATGTTTACTAAACAGCTGTTGTGAGAAAAACGTTTTGAAGTGTCTGGATGAAACAGGTTTACCGTTAAATATAGCTCCACATCGCATAGACTTCACAACATCGCGGGTGCTTTGAAAATAGGCTGAATTCATTTATAGATGGCATATAGCGATGGACTGGAATCTCATTCTCTAGCTGGTTAGGTTATTTCAAAGATCATACTATCTATTCAGTTGAGTTTTTTTAAATAATCTTCAGTCTGTTTCTTTTTTCAAAGGCAAACATTATAAGATGCTATTTAAAACAGGAACACCTAACTTTAAAACCAAAATAATTAGCAATGTAATGAAATCCGTGTCACTAGTTCCTCCTCCTCAAGGCAGTCTGATTCTGTCACTAGTTTTTACATGCAAGTATTATTGGTCTCTTTAAGTTTCTCTGTAAAGCTGGTGTACCTAGCCATGCATTAGTTTCGTAACATAAAAGAACACTGTATGTAGAATGTAATGACTTCCTGGTGATGTCTTCCTGGTAATGTCTTCCTGGTGATGTCTTCCTGGTAATGTCAAACAGCTCCAGCTCAGTGTCGGCAGCCAGTACAAGGAGCCAAGAGTGTTTTGTTTACAGACTCGCCTGATCAGCTGCAAGTGTTTAAAGCTGCACAACATGTTTTTTGGGGATTTTCAAAAGTTCCTCACCATGAAAAGTTTAGACATTGGAGGATGCATGCACTGCAATTTGTATCTTGATTTGCATTGTGCATACTACAAATACAACTCACTTAACTGCTATTTTTCCTTCTTATAAGTACATGGATTTTATTGCCTAAAAGCTCATTTTAATCATTTGTCACCAAGTCAATCTTTATTCCATTTCGTACATAATGTATTTATACACATGTGCATCTTGTCTTTTGGTCAGTAACTTATTATTGAAAGACCTTTTTTAAATGGAATATTGAGAGCAATCAATACAAGAAAAATAACATGATAAATAAGTTGCCAAATACTACAATACCTAGTCTTCAACCTAAATAACATAAGAACCAGTTGGATCAATCAACCATATCCAATGTACTCCGACTAGTAAAAGGAGACAAAATATTATCAAATGTACTGCTTTTTACCAGCATTTTGTTTTAGTTTGCCCATTCATGCCATTTTCCTTACCTATAATTTGGTCTTTGCAGATAAAAGGTTGCACTTGAATCTTTTAATTTAGTTTACAGACGATCTCTTGATGATCCCTCCTACACCCACACAAACTAAAGTATGGCCCACACTGTTTGATTGTGTTTCTGTGCGTCCCCTGTGTGCAAAAGCCTCTGCATGGCTTCCTAACACTGGCCTCTGTCCTGATATCGTTTCACATATTGTTTCCAGACAGTGAGCGGTGTAATCCCGGTGTCATATCGGCTCAGTGAGGTTTACATGCAACACTGCCTCCTTCAATCCTTTAAGGAGATTAAAAGATCAAATCATTTGGCTGTACATGCAGTGATTACTCAGCCAAAACCAGGTAAAGGTGTTCGGAGAAAGTAACGCGTAAGATGAGTAAGGAGAATTTAGACTTAAGGGAAAATTTTGCTCTTCTTCAACTTCAAAGACCCGACAGAAAGTACTTTGTGTGAGTTTGAGATGGAATCATGTCAGCTACACCAAATTAGCATGGAAGTGTCTTGTACTGTTGCATTACAAGACAAGACAAATGTACAGTGTTGGACTTATGTACGAGCATTCTG